GATTTAAAACAGTGTTTTGGGCGACGGATTAGCAACAACTGTACCGTGGATGCAACTATCATGGGTGAAAGTACGGATGGAGACAGTGAAGGTATGCCTTGGCAGGATGTGTCAAGGAAGAGGAAAGATAGGAGTAATAGCTCTGGAAGTTCAAGTTTAGGGTTGGAGGTGAGTGACGTGGGCAAAAAAACAAAGGCTGCAAAGTCAAGCAAAAAAGGTTAAGGAACGTGAACTAGCTAGATCTAAAGATACTCGTGTAGCAAGTAATACAAACCTGCCTGTGGGTAGACGGTCAATTGAGATATTTACAGAAATAATCACATGTTGCAAAAAGATTAACGAGGATACGCTAATTATGGATGAAATCAGCTTTGTGACTTTCATCTGTAAGATTGTGAATGTGGCAATGCAGCAACAGAGAAAAAATGACATAATTAAGACAATAGTACAGGCAGCTACAGAGCTATTGGGGATAAAATATATTAAGGCTGAAATGATTCATGAGATGCTGAACCCTACTAATTATGATGGATTGTCTCAAGGTGATTAACATATTCATGGTATTTCATATCCTCCAATGAAATGCCAGAAGTTTACTTGCGAATGGGCACTAGTTCAAGAAGATCATAACTGAGATATTGTGCCTGATCTTATTTGTATTCAAGAGTCATGGTTAAGACCACACTTGGAATTTGTCTTGCCAGGGTATGGTTCTGTTAGATGTGATACAATTGGATCACAAGGTGGAGGATGTGTAACATTCATTAAAGATAATCTAGCTAAAAGGATAAATGTTCAAAATGAATATGAATGTGTAGCTATAGAAATATGTAGTCCCAGAGGAAACATAAAACTAGTAAATTTTTACAATCCATGCAAATATCTCAAGACATTAATGGAATTCACAAAGCATGAGTTGAAAATGGCCTTAGAGAAAAGTGATTATACGGCTCAAGGACAAGACCAACTGTGTTATGCAATGTTTAGACAATTACCAGACGAATTTATGGAAATTATACGAATACTGTTTAATGGCTTAGTATTGGTGCTATTAAAACAACTCCTACTAATGCGCTACTAAAAACTAAAGAATTACCAATACTTAAGACGGATAAAGCTAAATGTTACCGGCCATCTGGCGACTGACACAGTTTCATATACTCGCCAAAGCCGATTTTTACTTGCATTTGGCGCTTGGCAAGTGTTAATTTTAGGCCCTGTGTGCACCCCTGCTGATAATATTGGATATTTGGTTCAGGAATATGTTAAGCAGAACTACTATCAGTATATATACCAATATTCACTGATGGATCATGTAGGAGAAGGAGTGTACATACCAGAGTTTGATGTAACCATATGCAAAAGAATTAATGACAAATTATCTGTATTTACAGCTGAAGTAGTAGCCATAGTTTAAGGATTGCAATGGGTAGAAGAAGTAAGACCTCAAAGAGTTATTATCTGTTCGGACTCTGTTGCAGCTCTTAATAGTTTGAATTCAACTGAAACAATAAGAGAGGATTTATATAAAGAGATATCCATGATAATGTTAAATATAGAGAGAATTGGAATTAATCTTCAGTTTTGTTGGGTTCCAGCTCATACTGGCGTGGAGGGCAATGAGATAGCAGATTTGACTGCAAAGAATGCACTGAAATTAAAGGACGAGGAAATAATGAAAGTCCCATTTGGTAAAGGTGAGGCCAAATCATTAATTAAAACAAAAGTGAGAGAATCATGGCAGAAAAAGTGGGACATAGATAACAAAGGGCGATATTATTATAATATTCAGAAATCGATTAACGTCAAGGCTTTTAAAGGGAAATGCAGAAGAGAAGAAGTGATTATATCAAGATTAAGACTTGGACATACTGGTTTAAAATCAACCCTGTTTTTAAATGGGAAAATGCATATCCGATAATTGTGATGACTGTAATGTACCAGAAAATGTGGAGCATATCATTATGAGGTGTAAAAAAATATATAATGCAGAAAGGAGGATCTTGCAAGATAAGATATATGAGTTGGAACAAGAATGGAGTTTGAAGGGGATTTGGGGGGCAGATGAGAAAATGTGGGGATTTTGGGGGCAGATGAGAAAATGTGGGAATGTAGCAAGGCTCTCTTTAATTTTCTTAAAGATACAGGGTTAGAGCACAGGATATAGGAGATTTTTTTTATTTTATTTATAATTTTATTTTTTTTTAATGATTATAACTATGCTAAGTACATGAAGCCCTGAAGTTGCACACCCCGGTACAGTAGGTGGCGGTATGCACCTGAACAAGTTGGTTGCGACCCGCCAATAAAACCAGAGAGAGAGAGAGAGACGTCATCAGGGTCGCTAGCGACTAGAACATTCAATCAGGGGGTTCATGATCGCCTTCGTCGTGTTTGGAGTCTACGGCGGTTGACATAAACTGGTTTGTGACTGGATTAAGATGATTTCTGGGGTAATCGATGAAGATGAAATGGAGTCAGATGACTGGAATTTAATAAGTAGTAGGAAAGGACAAGAAAAAAGAAAGAGTGGGCGAAATGAAGGGAGTTGGGTAGATAGCCAAACCAGTAAAAGGGGATTAGAAGGAAACAGCTCAGATGAAGATAATAGGGTTGTACGTAAAAAGGTCGTAAGAGAGGAATATAAAGTAATTCTTAAATTCAGAAAGGAAGATGAACAGGTTAATCTAAGTCCAATAGCATTGTCTAGAGAGTTGAAGAAAAAGTTAGGAGAAGTGGATACGGCTAAGATTTTGAGAGATGGAAGCATTTTCTACAGTGGGGGTCCCTTGCACCAGGACATTAATATTTGGGTTTCCGTTTGAAAACCCCTGGTGTAATGTATGTTTCCCTAGTTTTTCCTCTGCATTTCTTGGCAAGTGTATGATGCCTAATATTTTAAAATCTGTGCAGACTTTAAAAGCAGTGTAGTGTATTCCAGTGTATTCATGCTTACTCAGCACTGCATTACTCACCTGCGGAGATGCCAGCCCTTGAGGGAAAGGAGGTAGGCTGTTGTTCTGCTCCATATTGACAGGTTATGAAGCAAAACAACCAAGTAGTGATTTCAGGACTAGCTTGAAGACTCCCAATAGCTTTAAAAGAACTGTGGTGAAAAAGAACACAAAAACCAATCTAACAAACACACTTTCACACAACAGTGTAGCACTACGTCTTGTGATGAACTTGCGTGCGTTGTAGACATAAATAAATATGTGCATATCTAAAAGGGGGGAACATAATTTAATGGTTCGGTTGTAAAATGAAGACTGCGCAGTGTCATTACTCTAAGTTCACAGGGAATATAAATTTAAAATGACATTTACAGAACATATAAAACGTGTCAATAATGTACACACCAAGAGAAGAGTAGAGGGAAATGATGCTATTTGCACTGCAATGTGGCTCTACGGAAATTCAAATCAATGTTATATAACATAAACAACGCCGCTTAACATGACAATTCACATTCAACACAAAGTGACGCCAGAGCTGACAAATGATCACGTATCAGAGTAACGTAACGTTAATGCCTTCGGCGCAGAATGAAGCCCAGTGTGGCTAACGTGGCTAGTTTGTGGAGCTAATCTATTCGTTACAAACTCAAGCAGTTCATGCTACATATATATAACAGCTCCCTCTGCCGAAATTGTGTAATGGATTGTATATGAAAAACGTCCAAACAAACCGTTAATTAGCAGAATCGCTCAGGCTGGCAATGAGCTCGTGCGGAATAGTTCTAGAAGCGCAAGGAGCGCGCAAAACATGAGATTTCACAACAACTTCCGCCGACTTTAATAATGCGCTTCCGGCGCATTATTGGTTCACATCACTTGTTTGCACTATTTTATATTCATGGATTTTAATTTAAGCAGCACGATAATAATAATAATAATAATAAAAAAATCAATATTGAAAAACAGGTTAAAATTAGGAAATCACTAAATTTTGCAAAAAATAAATTAAGTAAATGTAAAAATAAAAAAGTGCTAGAGTGTAGTAAAAAGCTGCTGCTTCACTTAATAAAATGTTTTGGAATGATATTACAATTTTGCTCTTTACTTTTTGCTTATACACGTATTCAAAACATTGTAATATTGTTTAATCATGTATGAAAAAAAATTATAAGCCAGACCACTTTCCTATACATCTTCCAAAGTAATATTAAAAATTATCTCCCATGTCCATTAAAAATCTTGTCACTTTCAATGAACGCCCTGACTTTTATTTTGAAATTGTATTTTCACAATCTTCGGGAAAAACAACGACATTAACTTAATTGTTAATCTAAGTAAGAATGAAATCAAGAGTATTATTAAGAAAAGACTGAAAGAAAGGTGGCAAAAACAATGGGATAAGGAGAAAAAAGGTCGGTGGTTTTACAGAATTCAAAGGAAAGTGGGAGAGATGAGAAGTGCAGGGAAAAACAGGAGAGATGAGATAGTAATATCGAGGATGAGATTTGGACACACAAGACTAAATAGTACACTTTTTAAAATGGGTAAACATGATACGGGAAGGTGTGAATTTTGTGGACAAGAAGAAACAGTGGAACATGTTATATTGTACTGTCAGAAATATGAGACTGAAAGAAGGATGCTAATGCAAAATTTAGAAAAAATAAAAATGCAATTTATACCGAGATATATTTTACAAAAGAATTCATGGAATGAATGCTATAGTTTTATTTTTCAGTTCCTTAAAATAACTAATTTGTGGGAGAGAATTTAAAAAAAAAATAAAAAAGGAAAAAAAAAAGAAAGAAAAAAAAAAAATTGGGAAGGAAGTCAATTTTGATCCACACTCCATTCCAGTTGGGGGCGGAAAAACACCATTTTTTTGTTTGTCAACCGCCATAAAATTTCAAAAGAAAAAGAAAAAAAAAAAATTGGGAAGGAAGTCAATTTTGATCCACACTCCATTCCAGTTGGTGGCGGAAATACACCATTTTGTTGTTTGTCAACCGCCATAAAATTTCAAGAAGAAGAAGAAGAGACGTCATCAGGAACGCGCGAGTGGACGGACGCAGTTGCGTGTTTGCGTCATGTCCCGATGCATTGTGGGTGAAGAAACTTTAGCGGAGTCGCGCCATTTTTTGTGTGTTTTGACCTGAAATCAAAAAGCTGCGTTTGGTTACGGTTTTGAATCCTTTCCTGTTGGTTTAGAAGATATTAACGAGTTATTATTAAAATGGGACGAAAGAAGAAGAAGCAAATGAAGCCCTGGTGCTGGTATCCTTTTCATGCCACGATGCGGCCTGTGCAGTGCTATGTTGCAGCAGCGTGATCGTGTATTTGAGCTCATGCTGTCAGATTCACACTGCAGTCATATTTATTATTAGATATCAGAGGAAAACAGAAACCTGTATGTTTCACACTGGTGCATTTTGTTCTCTTAATGTCATTTAGTGCATCTTGTTTATTAGGATTAAGGGTGTGTTTTTGACACAATAGCTTTGTTTCACGGTAGCGAACTGTCGCACCTGACAGCGTATTGGGCATCATAGGCGCTCTGAACATTTTGAGTTGTAATAATAATTTTTAACCAGTCAAATGCTTACCTCACTATTATCATCACTTGTCTTTTACACGTTGCAGTTTGATCTTAAGCTCTTTACGTATTTCTTCTATTCATAACGTTCACTCCTCCCCCTCAATGTGATCCTTAATCAGACTTTCAGGTATTGCAACAGAGATTTTGATGATGAAAAGATTCTCATTCAGCACCAAAAAGCCAAACATTTCAAATGTCATATATGTCACAAGAAGCTCTACACAGGACCTGGATTGGCCATACATTGCATGCAGGTATGGACAGTTTTGATGTCTTTTAATAAATTTACTTTGATGTTTGGCAAGGGGTGTTGAATTATTAAATCTGTTTTAAAGGTGCACAAAGAGACTATAGACTCAGTTCCTAATGCAATACCAGGAAGAACAGACACAGAACTGGAAATCTACGGCATGGAGGGTATTCCAGATAAAGACATGCAAGATCGGAGAAGAGTACTTGAACAAAAGTCACAGGGTATGGGTTTATAGAGCTCAGGCAACTAATTGGTGTATAAAATATCGATAGAATGGTTTGTGACAGAAATATAAACCTGTTTTGTTAACCGAGCAGAGAGTCAGAAGAAGAAGCAGAATCAGGATGATTCCGATGAGGACGACGATGATGATGATGTTGAAGCTGGACCTTCATCGTTTCAGCAGCCTGCTGCTCCGCCTCAGGCAGCCTACATGCCCCCAATGACCCAGGCGAGCATGTATCCTGGACTTCAGGTCCAAGGCATGCCACCCGCTGGTTATCCAGGTGTGTATGCCAATAGTTTGAATACCTCCCAAACAAAAGTGTGCCACATAAATATCTCATATCTCTTCTTAAAGGCATGCCACCTATGTTGACTGGTATCCCACCAATGATTCCTGGGATGCCACCAGTAATGCCAGGCATGCCACCTGGGTAGGTCTTCATTTTCAGCTATAGAGTTTATAAGCTGATATATTATGGTCCAGTGTAAGTTATCTTTGGTCCTGTTATTCATAGCATGATGCCAATGGGAGGGATGATGCCCCCAGGTCCAGCAATGCCTCCGATGATGCCTGGCATGCCACCAGGTCAGTGTTGTTGACAATTATTGGTGATAAATTACTGAAAGCCCAGTTCATATTAATAATAAACAGTCGTTATTATTTTTAGTGATGCACTGAAATTAATTTATCGAAACCAAACTTAAACTTTCCATTTAAAAGTAATTCAATTTGGGTTATAGTGTATCTTTTTGTGCTATTCAGGTTGTCTTATTCTCAGGTAAATTAAACTGCTTCATTTGATCAGCACTAGTTGAACGTCACAGTTTTGGTCAATTATTTTTAGCCCTGAGAAGCTATTGTGGCCAAACATGCATTCATTTAGCGGTTTCATCTGAATATTTTTAGTTGCCAAAATTTTGGTGCATCAGCAATTATTTTCATGTTTAACCCCTTAGCTGTCACCAAGTGACACAAATGACATACCCAAAATAAAAAGGTTGCTGCTCATTTGTCTTTCTTACTAGATACATAATCAGCATATGTTCACAAAGCTGACACTTCAAAGTTTACTGTTCAGGAATCAGAATTACTCGGACTGTTATGATAATAAAGATATATATAAAGCTCAAACATGAAAATAAAAATATTAAAAACATTTTTTAAATGTATAAAAAATGGTGCTGTAGGATATGATTTTAGAAACACAATGAAGCTAAAGCCACAAGTCTACTAATGCTTCATTTGAAATTTCAGAACATAATCTCTAAAACTGAATTTTATGAAACATTTTCTAAGACCATGTCATGTGTGTTTTTAGAGAAGGCTAATAAAATAAAATAGATTTATGACCCCTGTAAGCTCTTCTGTAAGCTGTCGCCTCATGTTTGGCTCGGCAAACTGCCCCATTCATGATTCTATTGTTGTCACCCAACGAACCTTTCACACTTCTGCCAGGTATGAGACATTATCCTCATTATTCCTTTATCATTATTATTTTGTTTTATTCAGCCTTTAGTAGCCTTTATTCTGGCATTACAAGGTTTACCAAGCCACATAGCTTCAATCCCAGTATACATTTACCGGCCTATTATCAAAAGTCTTTCTATAAAAATACAACAAAACATTTTCTTACGACCTTACGTGAATTATTATGACAAAATGCATTATGAAGAAGAGCTGCACCTGTTCTGCAGCTGCATTAGAGCTAACATTAGCATCAATATACATAAGAATTTGTGAGATTATTAGTACTCTTTTACTCAAAACTCACTTTAAACCACCATCGCGTGTTTGTAATAACTTCCTTTTGCGATCTCATGTGGAATTTGGTCGTTTACTTTTGTAAAAATATGCTATTTATAGCCTTTTATATCGCTGCACAAATTAGCATTTCAGATGTACACATTCATTATTGTTATGAAAATACCCCAAATCTGAAGAAAATCACATACAAACCATTTACTATCGTAATCGTGTGTTTATTATTTGGATATTTCGTGGGTACAGAGGTTTCTCTGTGTTTGTTATGGTCAGAAATCAACACGGAAGAGTGAAGGAAGCTAGTGACAGGATGAGACGGGGCTTGTTATGAGACGCAAAAGATTGAAAAGGCAAATATATATCTCCATGTATATGCATCTTTGGACTATAAGCCCTTATTAACCCTGTTCAGTGAATCTATGTGAACACAAAGAAATCGCTGCTGACGTGACTGAATATGAATGCGTGGTGACTTTCTATTCTAAAAATGACGTGTACAGATTTATTATTTTGTACTCCTGACATAAATTACTAAATTACTGTCACTGCAACAATGTTTTATCAAAACTGGTCAAATATCGAAGCTAGAGTCTTTAATCTTTCTACTGATGCACAGTTTGTCCAGATCAAGTAAAAGTGTGATGTTTAACGTGCTGTTAAAGTGAAACAACAATAATCTTGGGCCGTCGCCGATCTTTGACCGCTAAGGGGTTTTAAGCAGAGGTGGGACCAAGTCATTGTTTTGCAAGTCACAAGTAAGTCTCGAGTCTTTGCATTCAAGTCTCGAGTCAAGTCCCGAGTCAAGACAGGCAAGTCCAAGTCGAGTTGCAAGTCCTCAGCTTTAAGATTCAAGTCTTAAACAAGTCATTAGTGCTTTTTGCCCAAATGAGTGTCTCAGTATTAAATAATTACCATATCAAATTCATAGTAATTTATATCATTATAGAGTGCTTTGAAAGGGGAAAATTACTGTGATAAAGACAATAGTCAGCAACTCTTCTGTCAGTTTGTTCCAGAGGTGGGACCAAGTCATTGTTTTGCATGTCACAAGTAAGTCTCGAGTCTTTGCATTCAAGTCTCGAGTCAAGTCCCGAGTCAAGACAGACAAGTCCCAAGTCAAGAAAGGCAAGTCCAAGTCGAGTTGCAAGTCCTCAACTTTTAGCTTCAAGTCTTAAACAAGTCATTGGTGCTCTTTGCCCAAATTAGTGTCTCAGTATTAATTACCATATCAAATTCATAGTAATTTTTATCAGGAAGGCAGGTAGAATATGTTTGACATAGTTCAATTTCATGTGAGATGGGTGCCCTTAGTAAAACTACTCTAGTTCAATTTAGGGATTGTGTCAAAATAGGACAAGCAGTGAAAAAAGCTATTTTATTAGTAACAGAATAGCAAAGACAACTTAATTTCATAGAAATAACAGCTGCAACATACTTTGCATGTGTGCATAAGAATAGCTATTTGCTTCTAGGTGTTATATCTAAGCCAATGATCCATTATTTGGAACCTCAATCAACAGATTTAAAAATATGTGAGCGGAAACTCAGAAAGAACTGCTTTGAAAGAACTAGAAGAAATAACTGCAAGCATACTTTGCAAGTGAGTTAAATAAAAAAAAATGCACATGCAATTAAAATATGTAACTGATCGAACAAAAACTGTGGAGAGCTGACAAAAACAGGTCTCAGAGAGGTGTTTATTACAAATAAAAATGAAAATGAAAGCACATCGAGTTGGCAGAGTGCGAGGGTCGTGGCGGGATGCGGATCCGTCACTCATGGTGCACCTCGGTGTCAGACAAACAAAAGAAGTGAGGAATATTTAACAGCAGTGGGTCACGGTGATGATGAGGCGAGCACCAGTGAAGTGATCGTGGCCGCGCATCTCGTTTCTCATGCCCGCTCCGTGTGTCTGCTGGGCGGCGATCAAACGGACAGGGCAGCGCTTTTCACGAGCAGAGATCGCTACTAGACGAACCATGTAATTTGTTATTTATTTATTTTTATCTCTGTTCTTTTGTCGTAAGTTATGCTATTACTCCATTAATTTATACTAGCCTATTCAGCGCTCCCTAAACGCAGTCTCTGGCTTATTGCCAGTCAAGCGCAAGCACGCTGCAGGGTGAATAAGTCTATAACGACTTTGATCTGATCATAAAGTCTTTCCGAGTCACAGGGCTCAAGTCCAAGTCAAGTCTCGAGTCCTTGCTGTCAAAGTCTAAGTCGAGTCTCAAGTCTTCTTTATGTCGAGTCGAGTCGCAAGTCATCAAATTTGTCGCAAGTCATCAAGTCTCGAGTCGTGTGACTCGAGTCCACACCCCTGGTTTTAAGCATAGTGATATCGTTATTGATAATAGCCATTTTTTTTGCATCCGCTTGAGTACAAAAAAAGGTCCTAGTCAAACAGTTGTGGTAGTAAATAATTTTCTTGTTTTTAGGAATGCCACGTCATGTTGCCAGGCCTGGCATGCCTCCTATGGCACCTGCAGCCCCTGTCACAGCTCCTGGAATGGCCAGCAGACCAACTGTACCTGCCACGCAGTCCGCTGCATCCAAACCTCTCTTCCCCAGCGCTGTGCAGGTACTGAACATTGAACCAGACTTATTTACTGGTTGAGTATGTGTGTAGCCACTGTTTGTGAATAGATAAACTTAAGGGATCATCAAAAAAGGTATTGGATTTAAAGAAACAATCCAAACTTAGTGTCATTGTAATAGACAAGTACTTTTCTATTTGACAAATACAGTGCCAGTAAAGGACAATAGCTAGTTGCACAGTAAAATAAGAAAGCTATATGGTGATACACTATTCAAAATGTGCAAAAAAGTGTATGTTTTGTAGGTTACGTCAACTTGCAATTGAAGCAGTACCCTTAAACAGGGTGGCCTTAAAAAGTCTTATGTCTTAAATATTTTTGGTCACATTACTGCAAAAAATTCTACAGTCTGACAGACCCAGTGACTGTTTACAATCATTGGACAGACTGAAGATTTTTTTCCCCGCTGTAGTTACTGCGTCATCAGAGAATTGCGGTAGCAGAATACAGGTCGAACTAGCTAGCTGACCAGCCTCCTAGCTACTTTAAATGGGTTTATGCAAGTTAACTGAAATGGCTCAAGAATTTTACTTGCCCGTTGGGACAAATAGCCTGATTAAAACTTAAGTTACAAAAAATAACTAGTGACTCATTGAAACGCAAGAATGATTCTTGCGATTTTATTACATTGAGCATAAACAGTGATTGATAATGGATAGTGTATTTCTGGTATCAGTGTCACGCTGTTGAGGCTCGTGCTGCCTGTCTCTGTGAGACTTTCATGGAGAAATCTAAATAAATGAGCGTAACAGCACATAAAGAAACTCACAGAACAAACATACTGAGGAAAAATTCAATATTTTCACGATTGCAAATGTTACATTGATTTGAGTTCAACAAACAAGTAGTTAAGTATTACTTACATTTTAGACACAATATTGACTTTTTTTTTTTTTTTTAAATAGTTCCAAACAAAGATCAGAACAGAAGTATTGCACATTCTCCAAGCAACACTTGCCGTTTTTTGCTTCTGAATGATTCAGCATTTTGAAAGAACCGGTTGAATGAACAAGTGACTTACTGCCACCTACTGGTGGTTTAGTCTCATGTTTAAAAGTATGCATTTTTCCCAAACATTTCTTATTTGTATATTAAAAATTTTATTTAAAACATTAATCTCATAACTAGGGTTGTGTATCGAGAACCGGTTCCATTTTAGAACCGCTTCCAAATTTCCAATAATCGGGTATTCAATAAGATATGTGCATTTCGATTCCGATTAACGATTCCCGCATTCGCATTTTAATGTGATTTTAAACTATTTAAGTGCAGGAAGGGAAAGAACTTGCACACTGTTTGCGTGCAGTGCACACATCTGAAGCGCGAGCACAGAGAACAGTGGTCCCGATGCAGGTTCCCGACCTGTGTCCGTTCTCGAACTGTTCCGTGCATTTCTACAAAGGTTGTTCCGGGCCAGAACAGACTTCTCTTTCACATTTATCGACCAGTATGCACGAAATACGTCGGTATATCATCATAAACACAGCCGTTTTTTTTGTCTTAAGTGAACGTAAACAGATGAGAAAGAAAACGCATGTGTAACAGTATTTTTAGATCTGTGCGTGTGCGGTGTTAAAGAGACAGACGTCTAATAAACGTGCTGCCTATCATTAATGTTAATCAAAGAACAAAAGAAAATCATTGACTGACTGAATATCTTTCGTAAATTTAATGAGGATTAATCTATATTTTATTTATGAAAAGAAAACTACAGTGTTTTTAAACTTTTGATTTCAATTTCTGTACCTGACATTTGTTCAGTTTTATTTATTTATGCTATTGCAAATTAATTAATTGTCTTTACCAATTTAATGTTTGAAATTTATATTAGTCTAGTTTTTTTCTGAGTTATTTTTTTGATAAAACCATAGACATAAAACGGAATAAATATGTTTGACATCTAAATATTTGACTTAAAATTTGATTGTTTTTTTTTTAATCTTATTGGAATCGGAATTAGGAATCGATAAGAATCGGAATCAATAAAATTCAAACGATACCCAACCCTACTCATAACATTATTTACTGCAGTTGTAATTTTGCTGTGTAAATTATTTAATTTGATTGGTAACACCCCTATAGTGTATGTTGAATTTCTTGATCAATTGTAAGAATTTGACATGAAAGATGACATGTCTAATAAGGTTAAAAATATTGGCCTTTATAAAGGTAAATAACATCCTGGGGTAGAACACTGATGAAAATATGCTTCAGAATAATTTTTTATACCACCAAAAATCTCAGTGATGCAGTGCTTTTGTGGAAATATTTTGTGTGGGATATTGTCTGCTGATATTAAAAGTTCACTGTATATCGTAATAAGGGTTGGGTACCGAAACCCAATGTAACCAGTATGTACTAGAACCGAATCAGAACGCAGATTTCGCTGCCTCATTTCGGTGCCACTTAAATACTTAAAGGTGCAATAGGTGATTGTCTTCAGAAACATTTTTTGTTATGCTGGTTGAAAGTCTTTTCACATCCCGATAGGGGAGCCGCTATTATACCTGGCATTGAAACTGGCATCGTGCTTTTAGTTTCACTTTCACTTTCACTTTCGAGATCCGCGATCGCACGTACTTTGTTTATACTATGGAGCGGCAGTACTTGCCACACATTTTAATGCTGGTTGAAAGTCTCTTCACATCCCGATAGCAATCATTAAGTTAAGTGGTCTAAATGTATTTATCTGTATTTATATATTCTGTGGAAGGCGTAGGACCAAGAAATGTTCGTCCATTCAAAACGCTCGGTCCGAGCGTTTTAATTGGCTTCCCTACCTGCCTGTCATCGTATGTATTAGCATACCTCTGCGCACCCGGTTCGTGCAGACAGGATACGTCATCAGCGCGTTCACGCACACTG